CAATGACAGAGCTTCATTGATCATTTCAGGCCACTCTGGATTTCGATGGACACATCAAACTAGACTAAGTCACCTTGATCCATAATCAAATGCACAGACTATTCACTGAAGCTGGTTCTAGGAATCACAGCATCTAAAACTGGTTCTAGAAAAGCAGGATTGAGGATTTAGGTTTTCACCAAGATAAAGACTAGAACCTAGTATCAATTTGTTAAATTACCAGAAAAAAATGTAGCTTTCAGAATAAACTGATAACAGCTATCAATTATTATGTGCAAGGCAATGTGCTAAGCATCGAGATTATTTTTGGTTAATCTTCACAACCACCATTTGAGATGGGTATCATTTTCTCACTTATAGATGAAGAAGCAGACTCACAAATGTTAAATAATTTACCAAATATGGCATAGGTCATGGATGCAGGATGAAGCAGGTGATGTCAAGCTGAGGACCTCACAGTTTGAACTGACCACCTATTTTTTTTCTCAGAGATCACAGGATTAATACCCATCCTGCTTGCCTCATCTGGGTCCAGAACATCATGGCCATCCCTTGTACCACATATGCCTCTGAAAATCCACCCTTCCTGCCCCAAGGATGGCTTGGCAGGGCCTAGAATAGTCAGAGTCCCTGGACCTCCACTGGGTTGATGAGAAGAAGCAGTCTTATCTATTTATTCTAACTTGCCAGACAGATATGCTCATTTTCTAGGCAGGCTGTGACATGGAAAAAGTTGGGAAGCTCAACTTGAATCTAGTCTAATCCTCTTCCTTCTCAAAATCCTCTGGAAAGCCCAGTCTTTGATCAGCAAACTCCACTATAGCCTTAATGTATCCTTGGAAAGTAGCCGAATTAAAACTTGGCATCCCCTGAGGATACTGCTTCCCTGCATGCAGCTCTGAAGATACTGTAATAAAATGATTCAGGCTGAGAAGTAGACTAGGATTGCAGCAAAGAAATGCCTGCCAAAGTGCGGCTTTTCCAGAGTTTCCCTCAGGAGCATCCATGCTGTTTTTTTAATCAATCTCAGCTTCTGAGTCAAATAACACTTGTTCTTACCCTGTTAGTAAAACCTACTCTACAGCCAATTCTAATATATGGAGATGTGTTTACAGAACTGCAAAGTAGAAAGCCTCATATTGAGGAGGGAAACCCCATAAAAAGACAGGCAGGACCCCCAGGCAGGGCCACTACTCTCCTGCCAGAACCATCTGGTTCCCTGGCCCAGAGGCTCTATCTCACTTTTTGCCTCTGAAACGCTTAGTTACCCCTAAAATTCTATTGGTTCCCTGAGCTCACTCCTGATTGGTTATTTCTCTCACTCCTGATTGGTCCATTTCCCTCACTCCTGACTGGTTATTCCTCTCCCTCCTGATTGGTCCATTTCTACAAAGTTTGTTCCTAATTAGTCAACTTTCATTACAGCTCATTTGCATATGATATTGCAAAGTGTACACTGGCAGCCTATAAAAGCCAGTGTAAACCTACAGATGGGGTCCAGAGCTTGGAGTGTTAACTCCTCTGGGCCTGCTAGTGTAATAAACGTGAGTTCTCCAACTCTCGGAGTGCTGCTTGGTCTCTTACCCAGGATCCAGGTTGCCGTTACAAATGAGCTGTAACAGCGACTGTAACACATTTTTCTGCAATAATATGAGGTAACCCAGAAACCATCGTGATCCCCATAACTGTGACTTCATTGTCCCACCCCATCCACACTAGCCTTGGTTGCTGTATTACTCATTTCTTCCCCTTGTATTTTATGATGCTTTGGTATCGGGGAGCCTTGCAGACCAGGATGGAGCTGCTCCTCTCAGAGTTAGCTAATTCCTAGAGACAGCAAACAACTTGCCTTCAACCAACCAATCCAAACCAATATCCCTCACTACCTCCTTCATCTACTCTCATACACCAAGCCAATATTCCCACTGTCCTAAATCATCGCAGGGTCAGGTACCAGAAAACTAGGGACCACCCCTATAGCCCAGAGTCCTACTGAGATTATTCAAATTAGCCAACCCAACCTCTTACCTAATTTCACCCATTCCTTCCTGCAGAAACCACAATAAAGGCTCTTGGCAACGCTCTCCCTCACACCTGCCTCCTGACCAAACCTGGTGTTTCCCTATACAGCCCTGCATGGCAGAGCATGACCCTTTCCCTTGGGAGCTGTGCATAACAAAACTTTCAATGGCATTGAACTCCTGTGCCATCACTCCGTCACCTCTATAAATTGAGTCCTGGGCACAATCAAAACAGTTGTCACTTCCATTATAGCAGTTAACACACACTCTCGGATATTACATATACAGCAGCTACTTTCAGCTCCAGAGTTTAATCTCCCTGAGAGCAGGAACAGTATTTTACTAAGCTCCATAGTGTGGGTTTGCATGCCCAAGAACACACACAATCAGTGTTTAATCAACTGAAATGGCTGCTGAACTGTGGCCAGTTCCTGTCCCTTGGCAAAGCCATTGCCCTGGGATTGTTCTCCTCCCATAGCAACAATACACAGTAGAATATGTTGAGACGTGGTTCTCATTGGCCACAGGGAAGGAATATAAAAGCCAAACCCACAAATACAAGGCATCACCTGTACTGCTGGTTCCCAGCAAGGAGTCCAAGCCTGGACTAATATTAGAAGCATTTATACAGACAAAGCAGAAAACTGGTGACACGAGCTGTTCAGACACTCAGTGCTGTAGCTCAGGACTCTGCCTCAGTGGCACAGGAGACAAATTGTGACAGCATTCATTGGAGAATAAATGGAAGTTATTTTGAGCACATGATTGGACTGGGAGTGGTGGGGCAGGGGACTGTTTTCCAATAATATGCATAGCATCTTATGTACCTCATTCTCAAGATATGTCCATTTTGTCAAAAAAAAATAAATATGCTTAAGGCAAAGGGTATAGCTCAGTGATAGAGTGCATGCTTAGCATGCACAAGGTCCCAGGTTCAATCCTCAGAACCTCCATTTAAATAAATAAGTAAACCTAATTACCTCCTCCCAAAAAAAAGATTTTTTAAAAAGTTAAAAAATATACACACATGCTTGAGTTCTGGGACTTTTAAAAAATGCCCTCTACCTCTTGGTATTTCTACCTGAAAAACTCATGCTATGCAAACATGGGTAACTAGAAGTCTTCTTTAAAACAAACAAGTAATATATAGTCATCGGTTTTTAGGCTGGGCTCTGTCACTAACTAGTTGTGTGACCCTGCTAAAACCTTCACCTCTCTCAGTCTCTATTGTCAGGAAAGAAAGAATCTATCATAAGAGAACCACCCCGAGGATTAAATGTTGTGATGTATGTTAAAGGTGCTACATAAACTGTAAAGCACTGCACAAACATCAGTCATCTATCATACTGGAAGCTCCAGATTCTGGCATGAGGCCTGACACAGAGCTGATGCTCAGTATTTGTAGTATAAATGAGTAAATACCACTGGTGACCTGTGTGGTCTCAGGCAAGAAAAATCTCCCTCTCTCTCTCTCTCTCTCTCTCTCTCTCTCTCTCTCTCTCACTCTCAGGGCCTTTGCACCTGCTGTTTCCTCTGCCTGGAACACTTTTCCCCAGGTCTTTACATGGCCATCCCCTTCTTATCAGTCAGGCCTTAGGTCAAATGTCATTTCTTCAGAGGCTTTATCTGACCACCCTGTCTAATATTCCTCCCATATCATTCACCCAATATGTATTCCCATTTTATTTTCTCCCTAGCACTTATTACTATGTGCTGATTTGTTTATTGCACTCTCCTTCACTAGAACAAAAAACACTCCACCAGAGCTTCCCTGTCCGTCTTGTTCACCCCTATTCTAATATCCAAAACAACATCCACCTCATAGTAAACTCTTGATAAGCATTTGAATAAATGAGGTTGAACTTTTATATCAAAAGTCTCATTCATTCAACAAATATTTTGTATGCACCTATGAGGATTCAGGCTCTATTTCAAGGTGCTGGGGGGATTTGGCTGAGAACAAAATAGACAAAAATCCCTGCTTTCTTGGGGCTTGCGTTCTAAGGGGGGGAAACAATAAACAAGATAGAAAGTAAAATACATACTATATCTGATAATGATAAATGTTAAGGAAAATAAATAAATAAAGCAGCAAAGGAGAATATGAAGTGTGTGTGGAGGGGCACAATTTTAGATAAGGTAGCCAGAGAAACTGACAGACCGAGCCATGAGGATATATAGGGGAAATGCATTTCACGAGGCCAGGACAGGAATGAAGAAGCTGGAAGCTAACACAATAGAAGATGAGGTCATGGAGGTTAAGAGAAGCCAGAATGCATAGGTCCTGTTGGCTAAACCAAGGGCTTTGGCTTTTACAACAGCAAGATGGTAAGATTTCGGAGAATTTGAGCACCGGGGTGTCATGATATGTCTTGTTATTAGAGGATCGCTGGGGCTACTGTTTTGGGAATACCTGAAAAGAGAAAGGACCAGTAAGAGCGCTACAATAACTGAAACAAGAAACAGTGTTTCAGAAAGACTGGGGGAGGAGCAGGTGTAGAGTTGGGAGATTAAATTTTGCCTTTGACTGTTGCTTAGGGGGAGGTTTGGGCTGGGGGGTTGTATCTGGAACTCAAATGGTATCTAATATTAACAGCAATCGAATCCTGGAGATGGAGTCCCACCTCTATCACTTACTAGCAGCGAACTCGAGTCAACCATTTCTAGGGTCTGAGCCTCAGTTTCCCTACTAGTAAAATGAGGAAAATACTCCCACATTAATAGGGCCTTCACGAAAACGAGTAAGAAGCGTCAAAGGCTGACCGTAAGCAAGGTGAGAACCCTGAGCCAAGGACTGCACGAGCCTGTCCCAGAGGGAGGAGGCTGCCGTCAAGCCGGCGACCGACTTTCGAAACCAAGGCACACGCTCCGAGGTCCCAGCAGTGACCAAAAAGAAGCGCCAAGGCCGACACCGCAACGCAGTCGGCGGTGCCCAAACCTCGCGAGATTTGCTGGCCAGGCAAAGTCACCCTCCCACCCACATCTCGCGAGACCGGGGTGCATGAGCGGCTATCGGCCGGCTAGGGCTTGCAGGGAAGATGGAGCATCCCGCGCTGGGCACGGTGCAGGCCGCGGACAGCGGCGGGGCCCGGCCATACAGCAGCCTGGAGGAGCGGGAGGGCCGGGAACCGGACGGGCTGCGCTTCGACCGCGAGAGGGCGCGCCGCCTCTGGGAAGCAGTGTCCGGGGCCCAGCCGGTGGGGAGGGAGGAAGGTGAGTCCGGGGGTCTTCCGAGGCGGGAAGC